GCCCGGGGCGCGGGAACGGGCGGCACCGGGCGGGGCCGCGGCACCGGGACACCGGCCGGGCAGGGGCGCCCCGGGCACGCAGGCACTCGGCGGGGCAGCCCCGGAGGCGCAGGGGGCCTGCGAGGGGAGGGGCGGGGAGAGGAGGGGCGGGAGGGGCCGGGAGAGTCCCTGGCACGGCCCCGCCTCGGCAGCGCCGAGAGATCCTTTCTCCTTACGGCGGCCAAGGGAGCATGGGCAGCTGCAGGCTCTCGGCTGCACATACAGGAGGGTCCGTGCCTAGAGCCTCTGCCCTTCCCGGGAAAGTACCTGTCACCCTTCCAGAAGCTGCCCGTCCCTCACACCGACTCGAGGGGCCCTTCACCTGAGCCAGCCGCGGACACCGCTCCGCAGCCCGTGGCGTTTGTGCATGAGGCACTTGCCAGGGGCGGCCCTTGCTCCTCGCAGCCCGCGGAGCCCTTTCTTAGAGCCCTTCCCTCCCCGCAGGGACCCGCGGGACACGGCGGAGGTGACACGGGGCCCAGCATCGCTCTGCAGGGATGCTCGCCGTGCCTCTCCCACTGGAATTGAACACTGGGTTACACCAACATGCGCTGCTGTTGATACCGCGAGCCCACAGACGCCCCCCCGACACCCGACAGGGCGGCTGTGCCATCGCTGGGCTGGCAGCTCTGCTCCATCTAACCAGGTTTGCTGCCTCTTGCAGGCAAGCTACCGCAGACTTTCCAACTGCCTAAACTCCATTTTTACCTTCCAGTCACCTTCCACCAGGAGATGCCCATGCAATCCACAACAGAAGACAGTGTATCTCAGGCCAAGAGAAGCAATAACCCTCGGAAAGCTTTCCTAGATAGTGCTGACCATAAATCAGACAGAAATCAGAGAAAACAGTCCCACGACTATTGTGCAGCAGTTCTCTGCACAGCTCTGCAGTAGGAATCCCTGAGTCACCAGCGCAGACCATTGCTAGGCCAAGGAACTGCAGTTCTAAAATTCATAGCTATGCCCTGCTTGCTTGGATTATGACATAGTCAAAATTCCTCAAAGTAAAAATCATTAACAAATACAAGCTATATTTGCATGATATGAAAAACACATATTAACATCCAACACAATTTATTTTCCAGACCGTATGGTACAACAGTAATTTTCCAGGTTATTGATAAGAGAGCAGATTAACAGCAATGCCCAACATAATGCCAGCCATCACCTACTAGTTATATTGAAAGATAAACAACTGATTTTTTTTTTCTGGTGCAAGTCAAATGCTTTCACATTAGAAAGCCCAACAGGTTTCTGTTATGTTTCATTTCAATATTTTTAAATAAGACAGCTTGGCATTCCAAAGATGGATATGTATTGATGGATCAAGAAGGAAAGCCACATGCTGAGAAAATGAATAGCAGTAGGAGAAGAAAACTAGTGTATCTTATTGTGCATGGAAACATACATTAAGAATGAACAGATCTGATTAAGTAAAAAAAAAATTATGGCATAAGTATTTAAAGACATTCATTTATTATTCATACTAATAGTATAAATCCACTCTGAATAAAGGTTCAGTTACTTACAGGAGGTATCAGTTTTCTGCCTCTTTTTTCCTTTAAAGATTAATATTGTAGTCATTGTTTGGCTTTATTTTTAGCAATTCAGGAAAGGAATTACTGCCCCACCCTGAGCAAAAAAAAGGCAGTGAATCACTTGCTTTATGAGACAACACAGAGACATAATCTGTGACAAATAACACCACATAAACTCCTCTGCATTACTGTTCCAGGCTTCCGTAGCAACAGCCTCTGTCTGCCAGTGTTTTTCACTCTCACCCCACCCCTCACTCGTACAACTATGCCTTATTTCTCTCAGCATGCCTGCTAAAGCTCAGAGCACCAAAAAGGCACATCTTCAGGCCTCCAATAGCAAGACATCTAAATTATTCTGCCCCTTCCTCTTAGTGCTCTCCTCATAGCATTCAGTGCACACACCTCCTGTGCAGGTGCACTCACTCTGAAGGGGTTGATTTTCCTTTGGACCTAAGCAGCTCTGGTTTTTGTGCCAGTTTCAGTCAAACAATTACCACTTGGTATGAATACAGCCATGTGTTTACATAACTGACATCAGAGTCAAATGTTTTACTGGTTCCACCTGAAAAAAAAAAGGATCACTACAAAAGTTTACTGCCATTTGAACACAAACGCTGCTTATACATTACTGAAATAATGTATGTGGCCAACAAAAAGAGAGCAAGTGGCTACAGTATATATCAGTGTCCATCAAACAGTTTTGATAAGTTATCTTCACTTCTAACATGAGCCTGAAGTCAGTGTCTGCTCTCTCCTCCAGATGCAGATCTTGAAGATTCAGTGGAGAAAAATCTTACAAGAGGTCTGAAAATGAACAACTAAATAAATTATGACTCATTCTGAAACAAGTTGACTTAAGGGATATAGCAGAGATAATGAAAGTGTAACCAGCAGGGAAGGTGTGGAAAATAGTTGAAGCTAGCAGGAAACAAGTTCAGAACAAAGGGATTTTTTCCACTAAAGGAGTGCCATCCAGTGGAATTACCTGGCAAAAGAGTTTAAATGTTTATATGGGTGCCAGGGGAAACTAGACAGTGGAAGAAAAAAATAGCAAGGCTTACTAATTACCAGTGCATTCAACCATTACCTATGGCTGTATAGCCTCTTTGGAGTCAGAAAACCCCTGAGCTGCAAATGGAGCTTATCCTGTTCTTACATCCTTTCTTTTAGGCATGCATTGCCTAAATTATTGTGTAATTCATCATCTCAGAGACAGGAATATTAGAATATCTACACATTTCATTTTATACCTTACAACTGCCCTTATGCAAACCAGGCATCTGGAAAGCCCCAAGAGGACAACCAGAAGAGGCCCATACTGCCAGGATCCTTCAGACTGACAGACAGACTTTGATTAACCTATGGGTTTAGAGCTGAGAAGGCACATAGAAAGCAAATTTGAGAAAGTCAACAGGGAACCAACTTATTTGCAGTCCCTACTAAGGCTGATGGAGACACAGAGCATCTTACAACTACATAGCTAGTGAAAGCTGATTGCCCATAGCTCTACAAATAAAGCAAACTAGAAGTCATGGCCTGTGGAGATACTGTGCATTCCTCTAGTACATGTTCAATGCTAAAGCACCCTATTGCCAAATAAATAGGAAGAGGGATGTGAAGAAGGTTCTGTTAAAGAACAAGGAGAAACTGAAATAAAAACAACCCCCATGCAGAAAAGCCTGTACTTATTCATTCTTCTGGATTTTTCTTTGGTTGATAATAATTATTTTTCTTCATTTTTTTCTTTTTGCTGCCGTTTTCATTGGCTTTGGATGTTTGGGGGAGTTTTGTTGGGGTTTTTTTGGTTGTTTTTGCTTGTTTGTTTGTTTTCTGGTTTGTTTTTTTTTAATCTTCAAGGAATAAGAAACTTTTTAACAAATCTACCTGATAGATTTAAAAACCATCAGATGTCCTGATACCCTGAAATAAGTCAATTAATAGGCTTCATTCCTTGCAGGAGATAACTCCTAGAAAGGGAGGGGCAATCATGCAATCAAATGCTGACCTGTAAAAAAAAACACAAACTCACTGAGAAATTCAAAGAGATACACCCAGTGTTCCAAATCACTTATGCGCAACCATAGGTTTGAGTGATTGGTGCAACAATTCTCACCTAAAATAAATATGAGAACAACTACTCATTTCTGCTGTATCGTTGACATTTCTGCTTATGGTGCTGACTGTAGCAGTTACTTGTGTCAAATGGATGCCTGGGTCTTCATTTTAGAAGTTACAAATTTTTCAGTTATCTCAAGTTTTTCATAAGAAGTTGATTGAGGACATTCAGTGCATTTTATACCAAAGAAATTACACTGCAGAGCAACAAGCCTCCAAGACTTTATTCTCCTATCTGAAAAGAATTTGGTTGCCTCCATGAAATTGCTTCTCTCATTGTAAAGCTTAACCCTTAAAGTGAGGGACAGCAATGCATAAGATGTTGAGTGATGTTTTTATGGCCCTGTCTCTCATTGAAGCCACTCCAGGGTTAGGCCTAAATGCTGTAAATAACACCTTGGTGGGAACAAAGCAAAGCTGAGCCATGGAGGAGGAACATGGAGAGGGCTGTGCCCAAGACATTGTAAGTTATGTACTATGTTCAGAAAGAAGTGCTAACGGGGGGCTTGGAGAGGGGGAACGGACAACAGCTTGCCCCCAAGCAAATCTCTCCCAGAGAAAAAAAACGTGCTACCCTGGCTTCATGACCTTTCACATTATTTATAGGGTGTCCTTATTGTGCTCAGAATATTCTGATGCTGGTCTTTACTGCAAACTGCTCTGGATGCACAGCTCTAAACCTGAGAGCATCTCTACAGTAACAGCACATGTTGTTAGCCATTTGATTTTTGAGGGACTAAGTCTTCTTCTTCAACAAATAAAAATCTCAAAAATATTTGCTGTCAAACCAACCTGCACTTCAATTACTCCCAGAAAGTAAGTCCTTAAGGTCACCTCTCTTTCTAGGTGTAGCAGGCTTTGCAAACGTAGCAAGTGATGGCGGGCCATTTGCAATGGCCAAGCTGGAGGGGTTTCAGGCAGCTGTAACCTGAGCTCCTGTCCTGAATGGCTCAGACTTTGAGGAAGCTTCAGCCGGGGCCAGGCTGGCTGACCTCTGACCCAGGAGCTTGTCTTGGCTCCTGAAGGCCCAATGCCACTGTCCCCTCTGGGTGGATAAGGTAGGCTGACTTGGGGTAGGCCCGCGCTGTGGAACACGGGTCTTTAAACAAGGGGAAAGCAGCAGATTTCTAGGAGCCGATGTGCTGGGGGAAGGATGGTGGTGCTGAGCGGCAGGACGAGGCTGAGCTGGTCAGTGTGTCCCACACATGCTGTGGCATCTTGTCTGGTTCTGGGTGCCCCTTTTGGCCGCAGGGTGCAATGCCAGTGAGCCCTGAGCGAGCTGAGGACCAGCCATCACCCACCCTTAAAGAGTGTGGGGTGTCCCCAGTTTTATCTCACAGGCACACAGGAATGAAGTGTGAAGTGCGGGGTCAACACGCCCGCTCTGTCCTGCAGCCCCAGCAATCCTGGCACTTCGCTGAGCTATTAATTCCCTGGCTGGTGCCTTTCGGGAGCGCCGGCAGCAGAGGGTAGGCTTTCCCGGCCGGCTGAGCACCGCCGGGCTGAGCTGTGGGAGGGAAACTGAACTGGTCGTGGTGAGAGAGCCTGGACTTAGAAAAAGAGAGGGACAGAGAGGGAAGTTCAGTTTCTTGTCACCGTCTTTCTAAAACGAAAGTGACAGGTTGTATTACAGAGTGCTCCTGCACCACCTGGCAACACATCCCATGGGGAGACAGACAACACAGATGGAGTTGACCTAAACCCAATTGATCTGTGACCAGCTAGAGTTTCAGCAAGCAATCTGACACACCTGGTTATCTGGGAGGGGAGGCTTATCTTGATAGGACAAACCTACTATATAATAATACTACTATAAAATAAAATACCTACAAGAAGTGATTTATCTACAGATCTATTTTGACAGCTCTCATACTAACAAATATAAAAGTAGGAAATTAATTACTTTTTCCACCTGCGTGATTTCCATGGAAAACTGCATAGTCCACACCCTCACATGGCATGTGCAGAGTGAGCAACCTTTGCCAACATATGTGATTCATCCAGTCCTTTAAGGATTGCATTTTCAACTGACTACAAGATATTAGGGGAAAAAAACCCCAACCAAAACCAAAAGCAAAAAACAAACCCAAAACAACCCTGTGGGGTAATCTGCTCTCTATGGTGGATTTTTCCTCTTTCCCAGGAATTTGACTGTGTATATATATAATCATGTTCTAGTTAGCTGCCAGGTTCTCAGTGCAGGTCTCACTGCAGCAGAGCTGATGATAGCAATTCTCATAATTAGATCTGCCTAATCACCAGGAGTAAAATATCTTATTTTAGTAATACCTTATTTCATTGATTCTTTTTTTTTACTCATATTGGAGGTTCTAGTCCAGAAATTTGTCTCAACCTGAATATTTTTGCAAAAGCTTTGATTAAAATGTTCAGTGCTTTATAAGGGAAAGATGCTGTTTAACCAATTGAAATAGTTCTTACAATGATTTAATTGAGACAGCTCGGTGCATTTCACGTTAAAACAGGTATTTCAGACATCACATGGAAGGATTGCCATTTTGCTGTCTAGTAAAACTCACTCACTCAATCCATAAACTTTAGGAGGATCTTCCATGGTGTGAGTTGGCAGTTGATTTCTACAAAGGGTGTACTGATGGAGCAAGCATCCTTAATCTCTGCATTTAATGTAATTGGCCTAAGCCATCTCCCAGGAGCAACTGTGCATATTTCATGCCACAGCTGAAAAAATGGAATGAGATTTCTTAAAATTTTAACCCCATATTGTAAACTTGACTGTGGTTCTGAGCAGAACAGAAAGTCCCTACAGGTAACCATTCAGAAGCTTAAGAACACTAAGTGCCTCCTGTGCTCAGGAGCTAAGAACAGAAAAGGGTATAAAAACAAAAGGCAAGACAGACAGAAACACAAGTAAGTACTAACACAAGGGGATAATGAACTGTGACAGGAATAAGGGCAAAGGTGTTGTTTTGGTTTTGTCCCTTTTAACCCTATTTTATCCTTTTCCCTTCTCCCTTCCCCCCTCTTCCCTTCGGGAAGCTATTTGGGGTCATAGATTCATATATATAATTCTCATTGCATATCTCTGTTTTATACGTAAAATATATATATTTTTGCTAGACCTTTGGCTACTTGGGTTTTTTTTTCCTTCCCTCTCTGGGAAGGAGACTCTGTTGTCAAGTTTCGGAGACTTGGCAGGAAGGCAGCTCCAAACTTGCACAACAATTTTGGTGTCAGAAGTGGGATGGTGAGCCTACTTCCAGACTCGAGGCCAGAGTGAGAGATCTAAAACACAAGGAAGCCGATAAGAAAGTCATCTATGTAGTAGATGCGGATTTCTTTGAAAGAGAACTGAGATCTCCCAGACACAGGAAGACTGGAGTCCGTTTCCAGGATGACAAGTCGAAGCAAAGATCTAATGGTGCATGCTCCAACCAGAGCCAATAGAGGGGCCCTGCCTTCTGCCAGGAGAAGGAGAGGGACGAGAAAGATAACAGAGTTTACTGGACTGTGTGGGTTCGATGGCCTGGCACATCGGATCCTCAGAGATACCAAGCTTTAATAGATACTGGCGCACAGTGTACATTAATGCCCTCAGGACATGTGAGCACAGAGACTGTTTCAATTTCTGGGGTGACAGGAGGGTCTCGAGAGTTGTTGGTGGTAGAGGCCGAAATAAGCCTGACAGGAGACCAATGGGAAAAACATTCCATTGTGACAGGGCCAGAAGCTCCTTGCATTCTCGGCATGGATTACCTCAGAAGAGGATACTTCAAAGACCCGAAGGGGTACCGATGGGCTTTTGGTGTAGCTGCGGTGACTAAAGAGGAATCCAAACGATTATCTGCCCTGCCTGGCCTCTCAGAAGATCCTTCTGTCGTAGGACTTTCTAACAAGAACAAGACTTTCTAACATTCTAACAAGAATGAAGAAATTGGAGCTTTATTGCAGGTTTGCCTGCAACAATTAATTTCACTTCTCCTTAAGACTCTTTTTCCTTCTGCAAAAAGGGAGTAATGTTATTGACCTCTTTTGTACAGCCCAGCACAAAGTGAACATTGAAAAAAATTGTCCTGCTTTCAAACCCTTACATAATTACAACTTTTATTTTTTAGTGTCACATTGAAAAACTTGCATACCCAGGTACAAAACTAACAGAGCAAGTAATAGAAAGACGGATAAGTTATTGCTTAAAAATCTACACAGACAAAATTCTCCACATTCAAAGATGACAAGATAGGGACAATAAATGTGGCCTATCACAGTCTAAAGAGGCCATACTAATTGCATACAAACAAACCACTGGGAGAAATCATGCACCATTCTAAAATAAAATTAAATAACTTCTTAGCCATCCTCTTTCTGTTTGGAGGGAATGTCTAGGCATACCTATTTCATGCCCTGAGAACATATTCACTACATTTTTAGAATTCAGGCATTTAAAAAATTTCTCCTACACTATGGTTTGGAGAGGCTTTTTTCTGACACCACTGCCTATTTGTTTTAAGAAGTATTCCCTCCCAGTGTTTAAGACACAAATGCTGAACAATTTCTAGAATAATGAAGGTATGATAAATTTTAGATCACCAAAGAGTCCAAGCATAGCAGAGGATGGGCATACAGATGTGCTACTTTATTAGAGCCACAAACAGCTCCATCTCTCTGAGCTGGGAGTAGAGAGAAACCATGAAGTGTTAAACTAACATAGAGAATCTGGACATTCATCAAATATGCCACATAGAGGCTTATCCTTGGATCCTGTCACTGTCCCTCCTCATTTCCCCTGCAGATGCTATTCTAGCAAAACAATACATAAAGCAAGTACTATCTGAAAGGTTTTTACCAAAATAGAGGACCCCATCTTTTATACCTGATGCTTTGGTTTAAATATGCACATGACTACTTTGAGTTAGATATTCACAAACATGAAGTGAAGATTGAAATTTATTCAGCCTATACTTCATATAGGCTTTTCCTAAGCAGTCCCCCAAAAAAACAATTTTATAGTATAAGTGGCTATGATCAAAGGGCATAGAGCTTAGTACATGTTTAAATTTTAAAGGGGAAAATTTTCCAAATATGTATTTTAATGGAGTAACAGGAATAAGTACTTTTTATATGGGTATCTGTATATAAAGGTGTTTTCAAAATTGGCCTAGACAGCATGCATCAACCTAGGAAAAATATCAAGAACTATTCTAATGACCACTATATTATTGTCTATGTGGCCTGGAAGGCAAATGAACATTAACTTTGTTTCAAAAAGTTATCCTGCATTGGCCAGATATATCAAATGTGAGACAAAACTAAATAGAAGTAGTTATTGCTAAAAATCACTGGCTTTCAGATACGGTGTGCAGCAGAGACTTGAAAAGCCTGGGGAAAATGGATGGTGTGCGTTTGCAGATGGGCTCACAGGTGCAAGTCGTGTGTGTCACTCACTTCATCAGTATCAGTCACAACTGGAACCAAAGATGGATCTTTAGGACAAAGATCTGCAAGTAATGACCCACAAAATACAGATTTCTAAAAAATAATGTCATTGAGGGCTCTCAACCAACCAGACCTCTCACTCAATGAGTATTCACAGCAGGACATGGGCCAATGATTCAATTAACCCAGCCACAGATTAAGGAAGTAATAAACATGAAGAGGCTAGCTAGGACATACAGAGAGAAATAGCACATTGTTTATTCATCATAAGGACTGCTCACAAGGAAGGAGTCCTTTCAGAGAAAGAAGTGAACCTTTGCTCCATTTCTGTCATGTAGAGAAAAAGTTTTCTAGAAGGATGTCTTCAGACCCAGGGGAAAGTTTCCAGGCAACCAACATGATTCATATAGAAAATATAACCTTAAGAAATAGAATATAACAAAGAACTACGATTCAATTCAATAAATTTTTATATACCTTTAAACTTCACATTTCCAGATGCATTTTGATTATAGGTACACTCTACATATTTTAAGTTTATGAATGTAGTAAAGAATGTCTCTTGAAACAAATTGAGGGTTGTTTTTTCTGAAATAGCTTCCCACATTTTAGAAAATTATTGGAACATATTATAAACCATATTATTCTATAGTGGGTTTCTACAAAGGTATTATCAAGGTAAACATCAACAGGTAGTAACGCTTCCTAAGTGATACTGAGGTTGGAGTTTCACAGTCCTCCAGTATGTCAAAGGTTCTTCTTGTGTGAGTCCACACATAAGCCACATGAAATTGAGAATTGATGCTTCAGTTACCAGATATTTGATTTTGTGCATTTCAGAAGCTGAGAAACCCAGAAACTTTCCTTTCTGTTATGTATTTGCACTAAATCTGGCTTCTCAGGTTTTCAGTCCCATGTGCCAAACTGCTTTAAGTTATTCCACACCAGGTATCCCTGTGGAAAGGACTAAAACAAATTCTCTTATATTACTTTAACACTTTCATTCTTCTTGCAGACAGGCTTGGAGATTCAACCAAGCCACAATAACTATAGTTTTGAGTCAGGCTTCAACTGTTGTGCTTTCTTAATCAGTACAGCCTCTCCCTATTTCTCCTGCCAATAGGGACAATATTTAAAGTTTTTTATGACTGTAATAGAAAGCTACTAATTAGAATAACCTAGATATATTAATTCCTTCAGAGATTAAAAAAAAAAAAAGATTATGCTGTACCAAGGTTGCAAATAATAGCAGTAACAGAGATTCAGCTAGGCAGGAAGTGTAATGGTTGGTGTTTGCAACCCCGCATTTCCAGTATAATTAAATGACTAGTTACCCAACAGTCATCCTTCAATATGCTAGATTCATCCATTAAGATTAGATATTCATATGAGAAAGTTGTAATGGAGATCAGAAGATAATAATGTAAGATTTGTCATACAGTACACTAAAATAGAAGCTAGGGAATGACAAAGATAAAACTTGCAAGATGCTTGTACATGGAGATCTCTGTTCTGTTTAGACACAGGAAACAGCTCAGTCAAACAGCAGCCTAACATGCCTCAGCTTGATGATGTCAGCATCCAGGATTATGCCATCACTGAAAATTCACCCAGCAGCAATAAATGGAAACATGTACTG